TGAAACAATATACCCAATACAACAGCAACAAAATATTGTTTATAACTTATTATTATTAGAATAAACTGAAATGTGTCCTTTATCAAAAAGAATGCGACTTGGCGATAATCAGAAACCAATAATAAATCAATTTACGTTATTTTCACTTAAGCTGAAAACTACAAATACATCTGGAATTTTATTGAGTCTAGCTAATAACATTAATTTTATACGTTTTTGCCGAAAAGTCCTTTATAGATAATAGTTTCATTTCATACTTTCATATTTCTCAATTTTATCTGAAGATAACGATAATATAATTGGAGTTAGCATAAACATGTTAAAGCAACGTAAATTACTGACATATTGTGTAATTTGTAATAAATGATTGATTTACCGAAAATATAGACGATTGTGCAGAGATAAAGAGTACATTTTCTATTTTTTTCCTACATTGGTCAAGCTTCGTCACAAAATAAATTGGTACCTAGGTAGATACTTAGTACTACTTATATTAGTACCTACCTACGTACGTACCTACTGTCCATTAAATCAGCAAAGATAAGTTATTCCTTACTCTGAGGGGGGGGGGACAATGATGGCTGAAGAATCTAATGAGTGCTGATATTTTGATATCTTCATTGCTAATACAAGCTTTTGTCAAAAATTACAAACATCATTCCTTATTAAATAGCTTATCCGGAATTAGATTATCTTTTGGCAAAAGTTCGGATTTTGTTTTGTTTCTATAAAATCAGGTTAATAAACATGTGTATTTATTATCACCTCTTTCTGTTTTGAATACATTCATGTTCATGTTCTCAATGTTGTCACATATACATAAATACAACTTCCTGTACCATGCCCCATATTCTTCGCAACACACCATAATGAGCAGATCTTGTAGGATGTGTTATTTCTGGTAAGTGAGTTATTGTCTGTGCGTACCACAAACCATAAAATGAGAGCAAAGCAGCAAGAAAAAAATGGGGCGGGTATGGTGTTGCCACCACTTATGTAAGTATGCACCTATACTCATAGGAACACCCATACGTACATATAGGTACATTATACCTACACCACCTAAGCGCAACATCATAATCTGTTTATCTAATAAAAATATAGAATGTTTTTCTAATTTAACTTAAACTATTTAAGATATAACTTTTGTAAAACTGCAAGGTGACAATTTAAGAAAACACAAAATTGGAACTTTCACTTATTTTTATTCGACTCGACAAATTTGTTTAGGCCAAAGCGGCCATTTACAAGAGCAAATACAAAAGATTATTAATTGAAAGAATAATAAATTAAAGTGCCCTATAGGGCATATCTATATATGTAAATCTGAAAAGGGCAACCGCTTTATTATCAGTTCTTTATAAACAATAGGGTTGTTTGGTAGTATTATGAAATGAACCGTTTTAAATAAATTAAAACTAGCTTATCCGTAAAAGTGCAATGACTTATCTCAGGATTTCTAAAACTTACAGCAATTGTCTGAAGATAAAATCATTTCGAAATCTAACTAAAATACCGTAGGCATCAGGTTATTGAGAAATACCATCATCATCATAAGGTCGTAAGTCGTAAGACTGGTTGGACACGCACTTCCACTCATTCTTATCTTGAGCTTATCTTCGGATGATCCTAAAACTAGAACATCCCACATCCTTAACTATTTGCGAACAGTAATCTAATGTAGGTCTACCTCTACTCCTCATAACTCCTGTTTTTACCTTTGATATGCCTCCGACTAGCCCTTCATGACAGAGAAGGTGTCCTACCAACCTATCTCGCCTATTTCTTACGGACTTCCGTAGAGTCCTCTGTTCTCCTATTCTTTCTAATACCAATTTCTTGCAAATATTCGTTATTATAACTCTAAAAAGTATATAGTTAAGCAAAACTGAACAACTGGTACAGCAAAAGGAGCAGGCTACCGGAGAAAAACTGACTAAAAGATATGTTCCAAGAACAGCGATATAACTTTCAGAAAAGTTCTATAAATCTTTGTAACTTCAGTAAATGTCATTCGTCAGACCACCATGAAGATGTTCTCCCGAAGACGTAGTATCAGTGGCGACCCGCGGAGTGACAACCGTATCTTCTCATTCGCCAGAAAGGTCGCTACAACATAACGTTCAAGTCTTTTGTACAAAAAAAGGCTACGTTATAGCAATTCTATTGACATTATCCAATATAATCTCTAAGAAACCTTTTCAAACACAAAAACCTAATCCTTATAAACATGCAAAGGAACCATTCATTGCATTTATCATCTAAATATTAATTGCTTAATAATCGTAACTGCGGCCAGCCTGATCCGTTCTGAAGCTCCAATTTTCGATGACGCGTTCGTGAATTAAGAGTATTGTTGGTTTTCAATTCCTTACTCCTAGCCGGAATATCCATGTCGACTTTGGACATTCGGGAGGACACCGGTTCGATTCCGAGTCCGTCTACCCTGGTTCAAGTTTTTTTTTATGATTTCCTTGGATCATTTACAAGTAGGCAAATGCAGGGGCGGTATTATTCCATTTTTTCACTCATTTCTGTCATCATTTCTTCCGTCTCATTATTCTCACCTCAGTCATCAACCACTCATTCCCACGATTCCTAAAAACCTATCCTTCTGCGTAGTCCTCAGGGACTGTCCGACCACCAGCATTAGTAGCTGGTGGGAATGAAACACCCAAAAGTGTTCGTTTATCTCTTCGGGCTGCTCTTCAGCCAGAAATGGGCCTCGTCGCTAGATAAAATTTTGGTCGAAAACAGTTGATCTTCTTCAAGCTTTTTATGCATTACGCATATTATGATCGAGCAATTGTATCATATCCTCGTGTTTTTATCGAGGTAGAAATATACTACAAATGACGGGATACCGCTAATACTGAACAGTCAGTTCGGCAAAACACCGATTACTAGGTAGGTACCTATTTATATAAAAATAGCATTTTTATATAGAATAAGTATCGCAGTCAATTTAAATAAATGGCTACTTTCAATTTCATCTAGGTATTTCTGAATGCAAACTAATAAACATCGTGAATTGTGTGTTACAATTTGAAACAAGTAGATGAAAGGTGTTTTAATAGTAGCTGATTAAAATTATCATTTTTTACTTACAAAGTGGGTATGTATAGTCAAACGCCCAAATACAGGCACTTGGCGGAATAATAGGTCTATCTTAAGTTTAACCAATGCCTTTAAACAAAAACCGAAATGCATTCCATGATTTTGATTTTGATTTTGATTAAAATTAGGCTGGCCTGATTTAATTTTACAATGCATTAGGTGATGGTAAATAACAATTTTGGATGATATTGTTTTCAAATTGCGGTTGTACGTACTCGTTTACAATTCGTTTATCTAACTAAACGTTAGATACCCTAATGTCAAATGTCGGTATACGACAATCCGCCGAACGGTAAGAAACACCGCAGCAGGTACTGCCTTCAAGACCGCCTAATCAGAATTGAAAGAAGTGAATTATTCGTAGTGTCTTCTTTGCGACATAACCACATAGATGTTTGTACCTACAGATAATGTATGCTCATATTGGAGTCAGTGCGGTATAAATGCGCCCGCAATAATAGGACATGTTCATGAAATTTTTAATGCATTGAGTAAATGCTGAACATCCCAATTCAATTATACGTGTACGGCACGGACTTAATAAGTAATAAAATCAAACTGATTGCGATTATAAAAAAATACACCTCACGAGTAAACACATATATTCAGTAGAATTGTCAATATAAAGGTTAACAACCTGATGATAACGCGAAGTTTACCTTACAAATAGCTCAAATACGAGTGGCATCACTATGTACAAACATTTAATTCGCCTCATTGTTTTGGCAGCGTGTGCTTCCCTTTCAGTCGTAGTCAATTAATAATCCAAAGTAATAAGTAGCGTTTAATCGATATAAGTAGGAAGAGTGTGGTGCATATCGAATGCTATTTACGTATTAACCTAATCAAATTGATCGTAGAAAAGTTGAAACAATTTTTTAAACTACGCTTTTTGCATCCCCTTACAGTGCAACTAAATGTCATCCACTCTAATGTCAATAAATGCAATATTTGACAATCCCTGTGAATTCCTGCTGATTTCAAAGCCGCCTAGATTGAATTGACATGTAGATGAATTAGTAGGTACTTCCTTAGATGTCAAAGACAGCTGCAAAAGCCAACAATTCTTTCTTCTTTCGTTATGTTTGGTCACATTAAAGGCAGTATATAAAGTTCCGATTTATTGACGTGTTACGACTTCACTCCATGACCATTTAACGAAATATAACACTATGAGGGCGTTCGGAAAATCTGACTTGACTAGTTTTAATAGCATGCTGAACTATTCACAAAGATTTCTTATTTTTTCTTAACTTACTTATTACGTTCACGCTTTTTAGGTTCATCTTTGTTGTACTAAAATAAACGCATTTTGCTTATGTCGATAAGGTAAAACGTTTGCTATATTTATACCAATACAACGCACGTGGATGTGGGAAAGTCTGGATAAAGCACCGATGTCGAAAGAATGGCTGTTTACCAGGATAATACTAAAAAATTTACTTTGGTAATCTACAGGAAATTCCGCTTTCAGAGATATATTGCCATTGTTTCTAGCAGCAACTAAACATTTAACAACTGAAAATCGTCAGTTTTCGACTAAATCTAAACGAGTCTTTTTTGCTTTCCATAATTTCACTTCGTTTCTATTGGAGGATTAGCATATGCTTAAAATAAGAACATTCAAGTTATTCTGATGACAGAGTACAGAGACTTGAAACATAAAACATGAACAGAATAGAAAATTGGTTCATAACATTTAAATGTAAAGATAATGGAGGAGCATTTCCAGCGTCTTCGAGTAGTAGAGTAATAGTCAACTGACGATACTCGATGTGGTTCCTTTTTTTACCTGGTGGAGTAAGTTGATGGTGTTCGCAGGTTCTTTGAGCGAGCCTGTACCTGGGTTTTTCAGTCGCTCGCTCATAGCGTCCGTCGCGTCCAATCCGTCGATCCAGTCTCGACATCATCATCACCGATGGTGTTGGAATTCATCGGATCTATCCACCGAGCTCTGGTTGCGCAGCGTCAGTTTTTATCAGCGACAAGTAGAGTCGAGAAGGTGCGTAGACAGTTCGCGGCCGCGATACTCCCTCTGTTTACAAATAGCGGGCAGTAATAGCTGCAGGAGCAGTAGTATTATAGTAGTAGTAAAGAGTACGAATAGTACCCGTACGTAGTAGGTGCCGTAGTGGTTGGTAGCAGGTAGTATTGAGACGTGACTTAGTCTGCTCCTGCTGACAATAAACCAATGTTTGGCTACGACGAAAAACAACCGCGATCCTTTCTTCACCTGCATCAGTGCACGTTACCCTTCATGGGAAGTCGCTCGTGTTCCGTTGCTCTTCGCACTTTCCTGGATAATTTTTGATCCTGTACGAAGCACCTGTGGTCCGACGTTACGGATTTTGCTGAAAATCCAGTGTTCAGATTGATCGATTGTCAGTTTTTGTTAGTGTACTAGTGCCTTCCTTATATCGACATTGGTCGATTTGATCTGATAATATTTTTCACACGCACGCACACATATATATATATATATAAATATTTATAAAATTAGTGTTAGTGCGCTCAAGACGCCTTTGTGATTCTACCTAGGATCATGCTGGGTGATGCTCAAAGCGGCACCACTCGCCCCTGACATACTGGATGAGCCCTTATGTGTTCAAGTGAGTACTAACTTACTCCGTCCATAATTAATACGCAACAACAAAACTTTTCTTTCGAGGAAATCCCTTTTTATTGGTAAAATAATTGAAATACAAGTCATAAGAGCGCTCTTGAGGGTATTTTCTACCACATTTAAGTAGTTATATAAATCGAAATTATGTGTAGTTAACTGTTTCGAGAGTATATGCCTTTTACCAATTATATGCACAATAATAACAATAAATCAGAAATCGCATATCAAGTCTCCACTTAGGTTGGTAAAATACATTAGCAATGAATATGATCGATTGCTCTGCGCCAATCGTTCAAATCGTTTACGACACAGATTTAGTCTATAACAGTGAAATTTAATGAAACCAAAATTTTTAACTTAAAGTCATGCAAAAGAGTTTAATTTAGTTTAATTTAATATTATATTGTTATATTCTTCCAACGACCTTTTCTTAATCTGCATACAGTCAAATATCTAGTGAAATTCATGCATTACGGTCTCAAATAAATCAGGATAATAATTCAATTAAACTAACTGAGTTATAGATATTATTACGTTAGACGTTAGGAGATTTAAAATAAATTTTGGGAGCAGGTATGAATATAAATTCCAAATTATTACATTAATTAAGTTTATTTTTGGTAACCTAGAAGATTAACATTCCACCATCCTCCATTCTGAGAACTATTATTTTAAGGATATATGAACCTTTATCAGAAGCATAAAATAATATGCATATTTTCTTTAAATGTTGTGATTATTACAAATATTAATTTGTATTTAATATACTTAGGTGTTCTTTCTTTTGTTTTGTAGAATTATATTGATAACAGAAACCATTTATTATTATTACTATTATTATGATATAGACTTAATGCCACTGCTACATAAGCTAAAGTCCTTTATCATTGTCTGATTGTATTATCTGTTATCAGTTGAATCGTTTTCTTAGTGAAAATATCATTAAAAAACAGAGTTTATTGATTTGCAGTCTCATTTCCTTCATGACATTCGTATAAAATAGCAAACTACTTTTGGAGTTACCGTTGATTTACTGTATTTTCAATGAATTTAGTGTTAATTCTCAGAAAGGATGCCTAGAAAAAGAAAGTGTTTTGTGTGATAGATAGACCTACATTAGGGGCATAATTCTGTTGTCGAATCCAACCGCAATAGTCGCTCATATGGATGCACGTGAGATTTATTAATAATAAAGTGTATAAATTAGTGGGAATTTTGAAACTATTACCCGTTTTAAAAATTAAAACCCTCCTATTATATACCTTCTGTTATTATTTATTGAACATTCGGAACTATTTACCATGTTCTTCATAACAAGTCAAATTAGCATTGACATTTATAAAGCATTAAAAAATTGGATAAATTGTAGGCAAGGATAAGAGGCACTAAAATAGTTCAGTGTAGTGTCCAGTTTGATGCTAATTCAAAAACGGCCAGTGGTCATTGATAATGAAAGTAAATTTACCTAATTATCCGTTCTGTATACCTACATATTAAGAGTATCTTACGTACTATTTCATTTCATTTCTGTTGGATAAAACAACGCTTAATTGAGTTTGATGAAGTGTACGTTTTGTTATAAAGCCTTTAGTAACTAAAAGACAATCGGTCAGCACAATAATTATTGTATGGGATAATAAATACACACTAGTTTGGCTGTGTTTGAAATTGCAAGCTTGATTATTATTTTGCGATATACGATCCAACAACCTACTATTAAAAAGTGCTTCCTATTGTGAATTTAAGGCAGAAGAAAAAACATTACATCGTACTTACGATTAAAGTATAAACTACAGCGTAGGTATAGATAAAATTAATTTTTTTAAATAGTTTTTTTCACTTTCAAAAAGCATTTTTTGAATCTCGTCCCGAAACAACGTCCTGTACTAAAAAAAAAAAAGATAACATAACAAATAGAATATATTAATTAGCAACATTAATAGGTAGGTAGAGGTATACGAGTACATTCAAGTTTAACAAATGTCTAGCCCACAGTAATAAATTATTTAAACTGAATGTGTTAAAAAGAGAAATTTACTATTTCCTGCAAAAATTCCACAGATCGACAAACGTATGATTTCGATATTTTTTTAAAAATTTTACATCACACAATATTCTTCGGTTCGGCATTATTTGATGATTTAGTTTAATAACTGCTACAGATCAAGCGCCATTGTAGTTTAATTTGAATTAACACGATCTTTTTTAGGTTACGTATCCTTTTTTCAGAACCTTCATAGGTATAATTTACTGCACGAAATCTATCTAAAAATTGCTTCATGTAGGTTTAGTTTTTCGAGAATGCATTCATGCAGAGTTTCTCTGAGAGGCTGTGTTTTATATATACAGGGGCGTCGTAACATAAATTAACTAAAATGACAAAATTGGAAGGGTAGTCGGGATATTTCTTTTCAAAGCGCCAAGAAAGGCCACAGTTAATACCATTGTTCGAGCGGACTACCTGTGCATCTAATCGAAACTGCCACCCGCAGATTGTAGCAGGCATTTCTGCCAAGGGAATTTAAGTGTGAAGTTGAACCTTCGGACAAACTAAATGAGCCGAATAATGGTTGGTAATATTTTCTCTTCTAAATTGAGGCTTTACCTTCCAAAGGTGCTAGTGTCGAAGTGAACATTATTGGACGATAGACTTCGTTTACGAAGCAGATCCAATAAACAAATGCCTACACCTTCAGTGTTGTGTTGTTCAAAAATAACAGGAATTTTACTTAAGATTTTAGTAAAATTTTAACATTCCTACACACATTTTTCAATTAGAGTGTCCGTAGGTTATTTTCATCGTTTTCAATAGAGTAAAACAATATTTAAATTATGTACCATAAAAATGACGAAAAACAACCATTTCTGACATTAGCATTTATATGTTTCTATGTACTTACACGTTTCTAACAGATTAACCTATCAATAATTGTGACGATTGTGCATTTTGATTTTTTTAATAAATCCTTCTTAAATTTAATTATCTTCAAATAACGTTGCTTCTTGAAGACACTTGAAGACATCCATTTATAAATAAACAGCGTTTCATAAGTAAAATAATTGTAAGTTACTGGAGTTTTGCATGCGTGCACTTTACCTAGAAGAAATGCATTTGTGACTTTTGAAGTTCAAATATGGAAACTATTTCGCACCTAAATATGTATATCTGCCTTATATTTTTGCTTAATTTATTAAAGCATACGAATAGTAACCTTTGTGGGCAATTATTTTTTACAGAAACTAAACTAAATTAAAGTCGTACAGGGAAGAATGGAATATAGGGCTGAATAAATCTTAGGGGATAACCAATTCGGTTTTAAAAGAAACAGGAGAACACGCTAGAGAATGCTTTTGACAATATGTTAAGTGGGAGAAGATGTAAAGGAGATGAGATTTGAAGATGAGGGGATGATATTTAGAGATAGATAGACGAGTAATATACAGTTTGTATAAAGAGTAGTAGGTTGTTACGGAATTTAAACAACATCGTGGAGAAGTAAAGTATTACGAAGGGAGTTAGACAAGTACTTGTAGATAATAATACATCGTCACCTCTACTTATCAATTTACGTACCGACGATACGACTAATATTACTGATAACAGGACAACATTAGAGTTAGACATCCAGGAACAAGGAATTAGCATGCTTAGATTTGCGAATGATAAAGCAATATTGCGATGTAGAAACGGGCAATAGTTGGAGTAAACCTTGAATGGAAGCGGTTTTGAAGGAAGAGTGAGTATAGCACGAAAATTAATAATTATAAATATTGATAGGTGTGATGTAAAGGATGTAATAGTAGGGTTAGAACTAACATAAAAAATGGGAAACGATAAACCAGAAGGACAGCTTTTCAGACATGCAGGGTTAGTTAGAGACATAGGTATTTTAGACCTGGGCCAGATTACTGTTCACAAATAGTTAAGGTGTGGATTGCTAGAGCAGGAAAAAGAGAAGTGCGTGTCCAAGCAGCCTTTAGGCTGAAGACGTTATGATAACAATGAGAATGTAATATCTAAAAAGCGTTTTCGTTTTTAAGGTTATTTTACTGTTTTAATTTTTGTGCAAGTAGATATTCATTTGTATTAGTGAATTAATTTTTAGATTAATTTTACCTACCCAGAGATTCTTTTAATTTTTTTAAATTTCTAAATTGTAATGCTTCTATAAACTTTACCTAATCATGAAAGGTGAAAAGATTCTCCGATATTTATCGCAACCCGATGTTTTAGTATTATTGGAAGTAATTTTTATTTTCGTATGAGTAAAAAACAACGTGCCCTTGGAATTATAGAAACTCCAGTTGCGTAACAGTGTTTTTTGTTTGTTATTTAAAAATTAACGTTCGCACAGCGTCTATCCTTTTCGTTAAATAATTCTTTTGCAACACCATTCGTATGAAGCCTAAACAGTACGTGGGCATTAAATTATCATGAAACATAAAAATATTGCAAAACACACTGACAAATAACCGAAGTAACTTGATACTAAAAACGTTGTAAACATGACAATTGACTCGGATGGAATAAGGATTGCTTTAAACGACGATTTATAGTGGAATTTCGTACATTACTCCAACAAGGAAGTGGATTGGAAGATATTGTCTTTAAACGCTTAGACCTTAAAGTAAAGGCAGTCCTATACGTATATTATAATATTATTCCCATTCCTTTCCAGTTACGCATATCTACTGACATACGTATTTTAACGTTTGAAAACACTCAAATTTAGAAATTTTCACCCATGGAAAAATATACGTACCTATATTAAAAAGGTCGTACGTTTTTCTCAATTTTCTATCATGACTTATTATATGTGCCCCTAATCAGAGACTGAACAACAACACCCTTTAAGGGTATGTTAGGGTCTGGCTCTAATATGATAATATGTCGGATAAGGTTCGGACCGAAAATTTCCAGGCGGTATAGCATAATTCAGTAGGCAATTTCATTTTAATTTACTAAATTGTACCCAAGTGTTGTGT